GAAAGGAAGACAGGAATGTTTCACAGGATGTGTGGCCATGAGTTTCCAGGACAAGTAGGGATTCTCAACCAGAACAAATTTTCTAGCTTCTTTCAACTCCGCTAGTGCCATCAGGGGCAATCTTCTGACAATCCCAACAGAGGAGGAGATAGAGATTTTCATACAAAGCTAAGTTTGCCCTGACTATTGAAAGTGCTGTCCACTGGTTTGCCTAGGTCAAATCTGCTACCTCCTGCAATGATAGGGTCATGGTGTTGACACAAATATGCTTCAGTTCTCCAGTTCTCTTGAGGCATGTAGGAGAGACATGCCCTCTCACAAAGGAAGGGTTGAGAAGGAGACACTTTCAGGATAGAAGGTTGAGTACGTTTCAAGTTTGCAGATTCTGTTGATAGTTCAATGGTCCTGGGCCACAAAGCTGTGTCAGCTACAGCTGGTGGCAGAAGAAAATCCCAGACATCACAAAGATTCCCTCTAATGGCTTGGTGGCTTTTCAGTCAGAACTTGTCAGATTAATTGGCCACAGGGGCTGCTGCTTAGCCTGCTGGGCTTTGGTACCCACAGACCATGGATGGAGGCAGGAAAGACCTGAGAGCTGGCCCAGGAACTGCCTGGTCAGGATGTTGATGCGTTGAAGGCCTAAGGATGAAGGACGGACCTTGGGCCCTCTCAGAAACCTGAGAGGGCCCAAGGGCTCATCTACCTCCACTAGTATCTTGATGATGCTTCTCAAGGATATAATTGTTAAGACCAATAGGAAAGAATTTGTAGTATGTTTATATGATAGCAATTTGGGGTATGCCTAGACCGTTTAAAGTGCTATCATTCACGTAATTAAGAAACAGGAAAACTGGCCACCTGCCTTCATTCATGGCAGATAATACCATGCAGTAAGGAGGGAGCCTGCAGCCAGCTAAAAGTCCTACCTTCTATAGGAATCCCTCTTAATTCTAATGCCTTCCCACTATGATTTATTTCTTGTATATAGTTTATGGTATATTTTTCATGAATATACATCTTGTTTGTACATACTTGTTTTCTTCTGTATTATATTGTGAGCTCCTTGAGTGCAGCAAAGGCATTTTGCCTCTCTTTGTATTCCCATAGCTTGCACAGTGCCTGGCACATAGTAGGTATTTAACAAATGCTTATTAACTGATTGCTTCCTCCTCCTTCCACCTGCTGATCATCTGGCCCTGAGAAAAGAGTCTGGAGTTTGGGCCTTTTCTTTAGTCCTTGTCAGTACTAGATGCAGGAAGTAAAGTCTTTGGATCCTAGAGCTAAAGACAGAGACATCCAGGAATCCAGGCTGGGGGTCGCACCAGCCCAACGGCAAAGCTCTAAGACTAAGAGGACAGGGATGGGGTGGGGCTGTTATTGGACTTTGTACTTGAACTTGGTGGTACTAATGTGAAGTAAGAACTGAGCTTAACTGTGAATCAAATCCCCCCTCCCCTCTCCAGACACTGAAGGCGGTGTGTTTTGAGGGTGGGGGAGAGCATGAGATTATGGCTCCAGTGGTGAGGGGCAATGTTTGCATATTTGTTCTTGCTAGATTTTTAAAATGAATATCTCTTTGTAAAAAGCTTCAATTCATGTTAAGCAGCTCCGTGGGACCAGGGTATGGGCCCCTGAAAATGAAGGAAGCACAGTCAGTGAGTGGGACCTTGAGCCAGTGGCAAAGAAAAGAGAATTCCCAACAACATCCCTTCCCTAGCATACCAGAGAAGAGAGAGGAGTGTATAAAATGAGTCAGTCTGATCTCCAGAGTAAGGCCAGAACAACTCACACTACATTTACATCTACCATCTAATGGTATAGAATGCCCATGATTTTTTATTCTATTTCAGAGACATGTCCATATGCAAATAAACAGAGGAGACATAGCTTGAATGAACATCAGTTTTCACTGTCTTACTGTAGACGATTTCACTTCATCAATATTATGAGGGAAACATGCACTTTTTAAACATTTGAAAAACGTTTCAGGCTTTTATTAGAACTTTGGTATTTTATCTGGGAACATTATTATATTAAATTTGATAATATCTGGGATGAAATTCTGAGAATATTAGGTCAACATTTCAAGAATCCATGATTTCATTGGTGCAGGACTCCCTCTACCAATGCAGATAACGTTGCCTTCCCTGCTTTAATCACATAGTCTTTATCAATCCTTCTGACAAAATTATTGATCACCTGCCCTGTGGAGCTGAAACTCTTTAAATTTAGCTAGACTGGTACTTAGATGACAAACATATAGTCTATCACCAGGACCAGCATCAGAACATTTTCTAGCCTGGTAAAATCTGTGTAAATTGCCAACACTTTCACATTTCTAAGAATGTTTTAGAGCCTAGGGTTACCCCCATAATATGGGCAGTTAAGACTTTAGTGGAGGATTAAGTCATATTTGATTAACTTAGTGAAGTTAATAGTATCATTTGAGCTAATAGTATACTAAGTACATTAGATTTATGCAATATTTTTTCACGTAAATGTAATTGTAGAAAATATTTTCTTCAACTATTGGCTCACTTCTCCCTTCCTGTCCCATACCTCCCCTTCTCATCCACCTACCTCTGCCACCAAAAAAAACCCCCAAAAGCAAAACAAAACAACAACAACAAAAACCCCACCTATATCATTGATTATGGTGAAGTAAAAATCATGGTGAATGGAAAATCAGGGAGTGAGAATTAGATACAGCATATGATGCAGACATAGAACCTGTAGGCTAAATACTATAACAATTGTCTAGTCTTGGCTTTGCCAGGTCAATTGGAAGAGGGGGAAAGAGAAATTACCTCTTCCCCTGTCTTTATCCCCTCATTGCCTTCTCTGTCAGGGTCTGGGCTCTCTCTCTACTTCTGGTTCCCAGCTTGAACTCCCCCAAATGCTGAATTCTCAAACTACTGGAATGCCTTAGTTTTTTACATAAGCCCAAATCCCACTGTTGATTCTTTTAATCTTTCAGTAAGTATTACCTGTGTGGTATCAGTGATCTCCCAAGCTAGTCAAGGAACATCTTCCCGTATTGTGGAGTTGTAGGAAAACTCCTTTAATATCTTCTTTATACTGTCCTCTTAAGAGAGAGCTTTTTCCATAGTCAGTATTGATATTTCTTTCCATAGTCAATATGAGCAAAACATTTTTGTACTGAGCAGCAACTATATTTTTAATATATTCCTATTAAGATTTGATCTCATTTTAAGGAATAACTGTCGAAACAATGGAGTGGGTGTCCAGAAAATATAGCTAGTCCTTCTTCAGTGAAGGTTCTCAAGTGGAGGTTAAATGATGATGATATGTTTGGGAATGTTGTAAAGAAGAAACATTAATATGTTTCAGGTAGGTGTTGGACTATGGCTTCTGATGTCCTTTCAACTCCAAGATTCTATGATTCGAAGTAGTATTTAGGAGAAAAACAAATCAAGAAAAACTGAAATATGGTATCAAGAAAAGTGAATGAAATTAGGTTACAACAATCCTTATCATTAAATATATGATAATATATTAAATATATACATAGTAGGTTATTTATAAATGCTTGTCACTTGATGAATAATAAATTTGCAAATGCTGTACATCTTTAAATTTCCACTGGGATTATGAATCAGAAGTCATTTGTTTATGCTATTGACATGATTTCACAACTCGATAGCTTCGTATCAGCTGGCAGAATGTTCTACTTTAAAGTAGATATTAGCATATAAAGATTTTTTATATCTACTTAAAATTGATGTTAGTAGAAAGCACTGTCGTACCATACTTGCCAATAGTATCTGAAAAGTCTTGTGAAATTTCAATTAGTTTATCTTAATACTTCATTTTCTTACGCAAAATTCCTATATAAATGTTTTTAAATTCTTAAAATGCCTTTGGTATTTTAGATTACCTAAATGGTTGATGTTTAAAAAGCAGTTATTATCTTCTGTAGTTAGGATATAACACATTACAAGTAGTTTTAAGAAGTAGACAATAATTAGCTAAGTGATTGATTCTCTATCCAGTTATATTTTAATAAACTAATTTATATTATTGCCTTCTGCCATGATTGCAGGTGTTAGGCTATAAAATTGTTAGGATTAACTTCTTGATATTAAATGTAAGACTTGTGAATTCAAATGTGTAAGTGAAATTTAAGCATCATTTATTAATGATCACTAATGGACAATAACTAAGGCAGAAACTTTTAGTTAAACAAACAATAAAATCAACTTCTTAGTCTGAAATGTAAACCAAATGATAATTTATTCTTTTTTCTACGATTCTAAAGATCTTTGATTTCACATAACTGTGTGTCTTACACTATCCTAGACCACATCTATCTCCTTTTTGTGTATTGACGGTCTTCATAGTTTTTTGTGGCCAAAAAAAAATTCATTGTATAGCTACTGATCCTACGATTGATACATCTATCAACTTAACTATGCTGACCCTCAAAGCACAGATATTTGGTCTGTTACTGAGCTTTTATCAGCTTAGTAGGAGCTGCTAAAGTTTGGCATTCTCCTGTCATGGCCAATTCATCATAATCAAGGTCACATCAATGCTATGATGAGCCTCCATGGAAGTACTTGAGTAGAGAGACAACTTTAAAAGTAGGTAAAGTTAAGGACTGATTATTGGCATTACAAAAAATACTTACAGTTAATAACTATGATAATAGTGATGATTGGCATACAATGACTAAGTTTGTAAAGCCTTTTACATTTATGGCCTCATTTGAGCATCACAACTACCCTATAAGGTAGATCTTCAAATCAGATATTCAAATGTATATATGATCTCATCAATTAAGATGTTTCTTCTAATGATCTGAATTGCAACCCAACCTTTCCTGTCCATCCTGTGAGATTCTTGTCCATGTCAAACAACAAATCAAGGAGTATTTATTAAATGCCTTCTGTATACCAGGTACTAAGTGCTAAGTGCTAGAGACACAAATATAAGGAATGAAACAATTTCTTTGCAGCAAAGAGTTTACATTATATTAAGGGAGACAACAAGTACAAATAAAATATCTTTACATAATTTTTTTTGCAGGGGAGGGGAGGAATTTTCATCCTATGTACAGAAGACTTGCTTTCCTATGACATCACAAAGATAACAGTGAAGCAGTTATGATGTCCACTTGTTATCTTTGATCCTTATCATATAACCAGCTCATCTTCTTTTTCAATCATATATTTCCCTGATGTCATTGCTTACTCCAATTCTTCTTTGAAGTCCCATATTTATTGTATGTTGCATCTGGTCACATCCACAATGCACTTCTCCATTGCCTCCTGTTAGATAACCACATTCAGTTCGTTAGGGACCAGTATGTTCCATGTCCTGTGACCATACAACATCACAGGTAGAATTTTTAGTATTAAAAATATGGGTCTTTTTTCCTGAAGTTTAAATACATGAATTACGTACATTTATTAATGTAATTTCCTAAAGGCAACCTAGCCTACTTTCCTCTTCTTGTTTATTCTGGGCCCAAATCATTGTTGTTTTTAAAAAAAAAAAGTCAGGGGCAGCTAGATGGCATAGTGGATAGAGCACCAGTCCTGAAGTCAGGAGGACCTGAGTTCAAATCCTGCCTCAGACCAAACACTTGACACTAGCTGTGTGACCTTGGGCAAGTCACTTAACCCCAATTGCCTAAAAATAAAATAAATGTTTATTGATATCTTTTGTTTGTAGCATCATCAGAACATCTCCTAGTATGCCTACCTCTCTCCTTTCCCAGGGAGCTATCCCATATAGCAAATAATATTTCTTTTTTTTTTTTTTAAAGAAAAAGGGAAGAGAAAAAAATCAACAGAACTGATCAGTACATTGAAAAAATCTGAAAACATATGCAATATACCATACCCCTGGACCTCCCACCTCTACAAAGGAGTAGGGTGGGTATATCTCTTCATATATCCTCCTGCTTATTCTTTGTAATTTTGCAACGTTGACTTTTGATTTTTTCATGGTTTTTCATTCCATTTACATTGTTATAGTCATTGTATATATTGTTTTATTGGCTCTGATTACTTAAATCTGCATGAGATCATGTAAGTTTTCTCTATGATTCTCTGTATTCATCATATTTGTCATGTCTTAGAGCACAGTAATACTCTACTACAGTATGTATCACAATTTGTTTAGCCATTTCCCAAATCAATGAGCATTTGTTTTGTTTCCTGATCTTTGTTAGTAAAAAAACAGCAATGACATTATAAGTATTTTGGAATGTACTGGGTGGGGCTTTCTTCTTATGGATAACCTCCCTCGGGTATAAGCCTCGTAATGAGCTTTCTGGGTCAAAAGATGTGGACATTTTAGTCACTTTATTTTCATAATGCCAAATTGCTTTCCAAAATGGTTGTGTCAATTCGTAGCTCTGCCACCAATGAGCTATTGTGCCTATCTTTTCATAGCCCCTACACTATTGATTCTTCCCATCTTTGCCAGTTTGCAGGTTGTGAGGTAAAACCTCTGGTTATTTTGCATGTTATTGGTGATATGGAATATTTTTTGTATGGTTGTTAATAGTTTGCAGTTCTTCTTTTGAAAACTATTTGTTCATATCCTTTGACCTTTTATCTTTCGAGAGTGGCATTTGATGGATATCTGTGTATGTATGTGCATATATACACACACATGTATATGTGTATACCTATATACAAATATATTTATTGTTTACATATCTTACATATAGAATCCTTATAAAAGAAATTTTATGCAAAGTTTTTTTTCCATTTGACCTCTTCCCTTTTTATCCTAGAAGCATTAGAAGAATACAGAAGCTTTTCTTTCATATAATCAGTTATCTATTTTATCTTATGTAATTGCCTGTATCTTTTATTTTGTTAAGAATATATCTCTTACTTATAGCTGTGAAAGGTGTATGAACTGCTTCTCTTCTAAATTTTTTATGGTATGAGCTTTAATAGTAAGGTCACACATCCATTTAGAATTTATTGTAAAATGTATTGTAATTTTTTTGGTCTAAGCCCAATTTGTCAGACTATCTTTCAATTTTCCCAGAAGTTTTTATCAAATAGGGAATTATTTTCTAAATAATTTCTGTTTATCAGTTTGTTGAACATTGGGTTATTGAGTTCTGTTATTTTCAGTTCACCCTTATCTAGTCTGTTCCATTGATCTTCCTCTCTATTTTTTAACCAATACCAGATGGTTTTGATGACTTCTCTGGTCCCTCTTTATTATTGCCTCTTTTAATTATTTTGTTATTCTAGATCTTTTAATTTTCCAAATGAATTTTGTTTTTTATTCTATTGAGTTCTGTAAATAACCCTTTGATAATTTGCTTGGTATAGCATTATAACTGTTAATTAACTTTGGTAGTATTATCATTTTTATTATATTGGCATGGCCCAGACAGGAATGCTGTGAAATAATCCTCTAGCTATTTAAGTTGTCCTTTATTTCTTTAAGAGCTCTTTGTGTTTGAGTCTATACAAGTACTTTGTGTATTTTGATAGATTGATTCCCAAATATTTTGTGCATTTTGTAATTATTTTGAATGGCGTTTCTCTTTCTATTATTACTTCTTGGGTTTTGTTATTATTATATAGAAATGCTGTTGACTTTTGAGGATTTGGTTTTTATCCTGCCGCTTTGCTAAGCCATTAATTCCACCATCCTGTGATTAGCAAACAGGGACGTTTTTATCTCTTCTTTACATATTTCCTTCTCGTATCTTATTGCTATTGCTGGGATTTCAAAAACTGTATCAAACAATAGTGGGGAAAGTAAGTGTCATTGCTTTACATCCATATAAATTGGGGAAAATTCTTGTGTGTCCCCATTCTATGTGATGCTTGCTTTTGGTTTTAGATGTTTTTTATGATGTTAAAAACAGTCCTCCTATGCCTCTACTTATCAGTGTTGTTTTGTACTTTGTCAAATGCCTTTTCTGGATCTGTTGAGATACTCATATGACCCATGTACCCACTTTCTTGTCAGCATACAGTGGCGTATGATTTGTTTGGAACAAACAGTTTTGATATGGTTTCATTTTGTGACATTAAGTCATTTTGTGAGTCCCTACTGACCCTAGGCTTACTTAAAGAGTTGACTTTGACCAGCTGAAAACAGATTGAGCTGGTTACCCAAACTTTAATTATTTCTCTGTGAGTTGAATACTGGATTTTGTGGCATGTACATGTATTTTATCACTTTCTTTTGTTGCATTTCTATCTTTGTGGTTTTTAAGAATGGATCTTAAATAGCATTCTTCAATGATTATTAACAGTATTACAATGGCTGTTGGTGCTTATCCTAAGTAATTCACATATTATTGTATGTTGATGGGAAAGTAGGCATATAGTTCAACAGTTGTCAATGTTCTCTTAGTCCTCTGCTGCTACTACTTGTTCTTTCTTTTTTTCCTTCTTTCTCTCTCTCTCTCTTTCCTCCTCCTCCTTCTTCATTAATAAGATGAGATTTTTTTTAATTCTTTAGTGTGTTTCCCTTCTTTAGATATCTTTTGAACTGATCCCTCAATGTCTTTACAATTGCATTGCCTCAATATGAATTTCGTTTCTGTACACTTGGTGCTATCTGGTTTTCTCATCTTTGTTCTAAGTACTATGTTATTATTATTCTCATTTTATTGATGAAAAATTGGCTCAGAGAAGACAGCTCTTCTTAAACTGCGGGTCACAACCCCATATGGGAAAAAATTGGCTACAGCAAAAGGGTTCTGAATGCGCAACAACCAAAAATTAATTAAAAATCAAATGTGTAATGAATCTGAGGTGTTTCTGGCAGTGTTTGCCTCTGTTGCATTATGCAACTTCGCTGCAGCCTTGATTATGAACACAAAGCATGCTTTGCACTGCATATACCCTCAGGCCATGCAAAGCCAACTCACCCTGCCGAAACACAAAAATGGGTCATGAGTGGGAAAAGTTTAAGAAGTCCTGATTCTAGTAAGTGTTAGAGGCCGAATTTGAATCCAAATCTTCCGCACTCCTGGTCTACACTTTATTTACCTATGCTAAACTAAAACTTTCTATCATATTTAATATTTTATTTATATATTTGAATTAAAGCATTTTATAAGGCAAGGAGAAATAAGCTTTCTAAAATCCACAAGTTGGGTTTGCAAAAGACAAAATGATAATCCCTTATGGTAATAAAACAAAGTCTTCCATATTTTTAAAGCAGCAAGGCAAAGTAGCTAGAATGCTTGGTTTGTAGTAGAAAAGACATGGATTCAAATCTTGCCCATGACGCTGACTATGGGAACCAGGGAAAATCACTTCATTGTTATGTTATTTGATTTGCTTACTAAATCGTAAAAATATCATATTTGTATAATAAAACCTTTCAAAGTACTTTTATGCATATTAATCTCACTACCCTGGGAGATTGATAAAGTGTGTTTATATGATGTTGGAGTAGGGGAGAAATACATAATGCAATAGTATTTATTATTCATGATGCCAGTGTGGAAAAAATTAGTATCTGAATTTAAAACTCTTCCTCAAATACATGTAGGATGCCAACAATTTCTGAAAATTTATTTTGCAATGTTTATAAAATTGATATTTTCCAAACTTAATCTTAGTCCTGAAGTTTATTCAAGCTGCCTTTCACTTAGCTATATAATTACATTTAAAGAGGCCATTCCTGTATTCTTATTCACCTTAAGAATTCCAGGGAGAAAGAGGCCCATTTCAATCTAAAAATCATTTTCCCCTTCTTCTCTCTGAAAAATCTCTCTTAGTGCACCCTACCAGTATCACATCTTTTCCCTTAAATTTTTCTCTGCAGTTACATTTTAGGACTGGTTTCCTATCTTTAGAATTCCAAATTTTAAAAGTATTAGATTCTTAAAATAGGTTATTTTAAAATTTTATTCTAAGGAAGTATTTGGGATTTCTCAAAGAAAAGGGAGTTGCCCTTCCTGGGAATATTTCATCTACCAATATTTCACCTTCACAAAACTAGAGGTCAAATAAAGTGAATAGTCAAACTGGAAGAAGAAATTTGTTTGCCTGCTAAGGAAAAATGCTTACTGGTAGCATTTCTAGCTTTCTAGGGTACAGATTTGATTTATATAGCTTCTCAGGCCTCCTTAGAGTATATGACCAATCAATTGCATTCTCTATCAGGAGAGTAATACTTAGCTAACCAATGAGGCATTAGGTTCCTATATGTGGGAGAGTTATTACTGAAACCTACCATGTAACCTAAATCTAGTGGTCATAAGAACATTGCATCAAAGTAGAAAGTCCCAAAGTGCTTAACCAGGATTATCTGAGGTAGGTAGAGGACCTGTTAGTACATTACATTTTAAATAGAGATTCTTAGTCATATAAAACATTTCTAAAAAGACATTTTTCTCTCTATATAGTTCTCTCTCCAAATTGTTTTGAATTTAATAACCTCTCAATCCTGGAATGACACTATCTGAAAAATCCTAGGGAAAAAGGTAGGGTTGTTTTTTTCTTTTTTTTCAGGTTTTTGAGACGTGCCTCTTTAAGGACCATTGCAACAAGAAATGTCATAGAGGCCATAAATAAACCAAAAAAAAAAAGTGGTAATCAATGAGATTACTTATACCCTCAATGTTTGGCATTCATATGTAGCACACATTTTATCTACTTCATAATAATCTACAGTCAAATTCATTTGGTGTTCTACATATATTCTTTGTGCCTACATTGACTATATAGGTCTCAGCAATAATAATACCAACAACAATAAATCCAGGGCATGAACTTCAAAATAAAATGGGTTTTTAACCCCAGTCTCTGATCCTCTAAAAGCTCTGTTGTATGTGGCTGTAGAAAAAAAATAAAAGTACTAATACAAAGGAAGACTGGGTTGTTCGGATTGTAGAAAATGTGAAATTTTCTAAAGACTCATGTTTCCATTTCTTCCCTAGAGGCATTTTTCAAAACCTTTCTTCTTCATAGTATAAATTGTCAAATGGAAATTATAGCAGTTAATCCTCTTTATTAAGGAGGTGATTCTAAATATATTAATCAAAGATTACTGTACATTTAAATTTTATCCCAGAGAATTAGAATATTTTTAATCAAATAGTTATTTGTCTAATTCATTCTTTCAACTACTATAGAATACTAAGTTAAGACCTAGATAAATATATGGGGAGATTTGTATTTGTTGATGTATTTTACTTTATAAGTTCTGCTATGTAATTCACTTCCAAAATTATATTTTCTTGTTTTCTGAAAGGAAGCTTTAGACAGATTGAGATTATATCTTGCAAGAGATGGTTGAGTTTAATATGGAGGAAAATGATTTGGGTCTGGCTCTGGTCAGAACACCCAATACATTCTAACCCCTTTGTTGTCTACTTGTGATTTATCTCATATATGAAAAAACATCTTTAATATTTATCAGAACAGATGACTATATTATGAACAGAAGTTGAACAACTCTCCTGCCAGGAAACTTAATTTAAAAGATCAACTTGTTTAAAAACAATGTTGAGATGAGAATTGCAGAAAATGTACCTAGGAGTGCAGTATGAATAGTGATATATTTTGGAAATCACATCTTTATTTTTATCTGTAAAAAAAAAAGTGGAGTTTTAGTTAAAGCAATTAAATTTCAACCTAACTTGATTTATTGCTTCAGAAGTAAATATTATGAATAGTACTAATGGGTAAATGATCATTTCAAATTAGGAAAATGTATTATGAGAACAACATCCTAATTTCAATTAAAATCATGGAATGAATTTCACTTATTTAGACATAGTTTTACCTTTTTTTATTCCCCTTCTTTCCTCTTCTTCACTTTGTCTCTTAGTAAATGATATGCTGAAAGTGAAAGGAATGATATAATAAAGATTTTCCATAGGTAGAGTCCAGCATTAGAGTTTATGCTTCTTCAAGCAAAACTAAATTATAGTACTTCAAATGGCATCCAAATCAAATTGTTTTTATCAAGGGGTTTTCACAATAACAAAATGAAAGCTTTCGCATTTTACTTATGGGCAAAAAAAAAAATACCCATAGAAACACATTCTCTCCTTGTCACCTTGATGGACAGAGATGTTATTAACAGCAATGTCGTACAGGCAGAGGGAAAGTCTGGAATTCTGCCTCTGTTAAAATTTAGATACTGCCAGTGGGTAGCAGCTGTTTTAAATTTAAGAGGACAGGAGTGAGTTAGTGGCATTTTGTGAGAGATAAATGAGCCCACAGCACGCACCAATTGCCAGTAAATCCATGAGATGATAAACACCCTTCCTTGCAGAGTGAGCAAGACGGGAAAGTCACCTGCAAAGATTTCTCCTTTTAAAAGAAGAGAAGAAATTGTGGAAATGGTACATTAACTAACGTTTCCCTTCTGCTTCCTCCCTCCAGCTTGTCTTCATATACCACTAACATCTATAACCAGGTTTCACTAGTTCTAGATTCTTGGATACGGTTACCAAGAATTTCACAATTCTATGGAGTTGGTTTCCATTTCAAATCACAATAAGCTCTTCAATATAGTTTCATCAGCATTTGCTGAAGATAACAGTCATTGAATGATCTATAACTTCTTCTATGAAAGCTCATTAACAAGTACAATGATAGGACTGCTTTTGATCTTTATAGTAGACACTTTAGTCATTGTGAATATTATACCAAAGACACATGCCATAGTACATTTTAAGCATTTATTATCCTCTTAGTTGACATTTTTAAAAAGCTGCTAAAATCTTTAAGACTTCTTTAAACCTACTTTTTGGTAGTTTAAAATATATATCACTGCATATAGCAGTGATATGAAAGGAAAATTTTTTATTTCTCAAAAAGCATCATTTTGAATGAGAAAGAAGTCCCCTAAAGTTGCCATTTTAATTTCCTGAAATGGATCCATGACTCTCAGCCACCTCAAATCCTGCCGTATGTTTTGCAGATGCAAACTATAAGTTAGTTCTTATCTCCTTGTCTTCCTTGATCATAACGTAAGACAACATGTATGACAAGAAGTACCAATATTTAGGGGCATGAGTTCCTGTGTTAGTTTTTTTTTTAATGAACAACTATATTCATTTAACATGCTCTCTCAATATGACTGTAACTGTTTCAATAGAATTCCCATTTTGAGAAACATATTTGTAATCAAGGGTATTTTTCGGTGCTGTGCTTTGTGATTTGGTGGGGAGTTTGCTTGTTTATTTATTTTCCATCTTGTTTGGAAAAGGCCATTTGGCATGCGACAGTGTTGTTTGCTTACTGAGGGGCAGTAGCATTCCAGAACAGTACCACTCCTCTCAGTTTCCTTAGATACCTTGTCACTACTATCGCTACCAACACCAATTGCTGACCAACCACCATATGTAGGCAGATGAGTTCAAGAATCTTGTGGTTGGCAGTACCACCCAGATACCAGTCCTACTTCCAGGATAACCATACAAGCCATCATCCTAAGAAGCAACCACTGAGAGGGTGCCATGGGTAACAGTTTCTGCAGGGGCTGTAACCGTAGCTACCAAAGATCCAGAAAAGACATTTCTTACCACCAACGTCTTTCACACTGTTACATAGTTCAACATCAGAAATGGATATGATGAATATGAGGGGAGGCAGAACTAAGATGGTGGAGTAGTTATAGCAACCCAGCTGAACTCTCCCAACATTTCCCTCTAAACAATTTTAAAATGACTTCTCAACTGGCAGTGCTAACAAAAGGTCAGAATGAGACATTTTTCTAGTCCAAGACAACTTAGGAGGTTAGCAAAATAGGTGTGTGACACCAGAGTGGGAGCTGGCCTGGCATGCAGTGGCAGCAGCAGTGGTGGGCCTGGGAGATGACTGCAACAGTGGCAGCAACAGCCTTGGGAATTGTCAGCCCACAAACGGTGAGGGGGTCAGACAACTGGTCAGAAAGAGATTACAGGGAACGCTTTGCTGGCACTGAGTACAGGAACCTGTTTCATTGCCCATATGCAGTTCTGTGTCACAGTTCCAGAGCAAAGAGGAGAACTCGCACTTGCCATCACAGGGGAACAGTGGCCCTGTCACAGTTTCAGGACCAAAAGAAGCTCTAGCACTTGTGGCTGCAGGGGTACTTTCTGGGGAAAGACCACAGCAGAGATTAGGAGGGCAGTGACCACTCCTGTCCTTGAAAAGCTGCAGATCCCCAGAACTAGTCTGAAAACAACAACACAAAGAAATATGAAGTTTGGAACAGCCCCTCCTCCCTGCCCCAGCAGACCCCAACTTTACAATAAAGTTAAAAACATATTAAAAACATATCAAGGAACAGTCAGAAAAAATGAGCAAAAACAAAAGGATGTGATCATAAAAAGGTACTATGGTGACAGGAAGGATCAAGATACAAACTCAGAAGAAGATAATGATATCAAAACACCTATAAGCAAAGCCTCAAAGGAAAAAAACAATGTGAAGTGGACACAAGCCCAACAAGAATTCCTAGAAGAGCTTAAAATAATTTAAAAAATCAAATAATAAAGGTAGAGGAAAAATTGGGGAAAGAAATGAGAGTGATGCAAGAAAATTATGAAAAGAGAATCAATAGCCTGGCAAAAGAGGCACAAAAAATACAGGATAAAATAAGACTTTAAAAAACAGAATAGGCCAAATGATAAAAGAGACACAAAACTTCACTGAAGAGAACTCTTTAAAAGACAGAATCGTCCAAGTGGAAAAAGAGGTGCAAAAACTCACTGAAGAAAATAATTTAAAAATTAGAATTGGACAACTGGAAACTAATGACTGCACAAGACATCAAGAAACAATAGAACAAAGTCAAAAGAATGAAAACATAGAAGAAAATGTGAAATATCTCATCAGAAAAATAACTAACCTGGAAAATAGAGCAAGGAGAGACAACTTAAGAATTATTGTCTTACCTGAAAGCCATGATAAAAAAAAAAAGAGAAAGAGAGAGAGAGCAAATTATAAAGAAAAATTGCCCTGATATCCTAGAACCAGAGGGCAAAATAGAAACGGAATTAATCCACTGACCACCTCCTGAACAAGATCCCAAAATGAAAACTCACCACTATTCTTCAATATTGCACTAGAAATGCTATCTATAGCAATAAGAGAAGAAAAAGAAATTGAAGGAATTAGAATAGGTAATAAGGAAATGAAACTATCATTCTTCACAGATGATATGATAGTATACTTGGAGAATCCTACAGAATTGACTAAAAAACTGGTTGAAGCAATTAACAACTTCAGCAAAGTTGTAGAATATAAAATAAATACCCATAAATCGTCAGCATTTCTACATATTACCAACAAAGTCCATCAGAAATTGATAGCAAGGGAAATTACATTTAAAATATCTGCAGACATTGTAAAATGCTTAGGAGTCTACCTGCCAAAACAAACCCAGAAACTATATGAACACAATTACAAAACATTTTTCACACAAATAAAGACAGATCTAAAACAACTGGAGAAATATTCATTGAAAATGTTTTGCATGGAAATATGTTTTGCATGACTACACATGTATAACCTATTTTAAATTGCTTGCCTTGTCAATGGGGGGGGCAGGAAGATTTGGAACTTAAAAACATTTAAACTAGTGTTAAAAATTGTTTTTATACATGGAAAGACTTACATGAACTGATGCGAAGTGAAGTGAGCAGAACCAGGAGAACATTGTACACAGTAACTGCAATATTGTTTCATGAAGAACTATGAATGACTTTGCTATTCTCAGCAGTACAATAATGATTCAAGACAATCCCAAAAAACTCATGATGAAGTATGTTATCTGCCTCCAGAGAAAAAACTGATAATGTATGAATACAGACTGAAGGATACTATCTGTTGTTTCTTTTTCTTTCTTTCTTTCTCTCTTTTTTTCTTCCCTTCCTTCCTTCTTTCTTTCCTTCCTTTTTTTTTTTGTTTTTGAATCTTTTTGTACAAAATGACTAATATGGAAATGTTTTACATGATTGCACATGTATAACCTATATTGGATTGCTTACTATCTCAATTTTCTATTTGTATCCCTAGCATTTAGCACAGTGCTTTGCACATAGTAAGCACTTAATAAATATTTATTCATTCATTCTAAACCTACGACTTAATCAAGATGGTGAGCAAGTGAGGATTTGGATACCTGAATAACCAGATATACCATATTCTTGAGACTGAGGGCAGTTCTTGGACCCTGGAGTTAGACTTAAACAAATATGGTAATGAATTGCATTCCTGGGATCTAGAAGGTTAGTGTGGTCTTCTTTCTCAAATAACTCTTTTCCAGCTTCTACAACAATTGCAGAGAAGAGATAACACTTTTCTATTCACTCAAGAGTGCTACAAATGTGTCAGGATTTGAAAGAGCTTTAAACCTGTCATGTTGGCAGCTCTCCAAACCATCTCATTCAACCTGATCTGACTCAGATGGGGAGGGTGGAGAAGGAATTTACTTTCCTCTTTGTATTCTGATGACATCTGCTTTCCCAGTGATTGGTAACAAGATCCCTATGAAACTTGGATGAAAATGTAGATGTATAGTAAAGTCACCAATAGATGACAGAGTAGGGACTGATTTTATATTATTATTAATTTCCAAAAAAGATAAGATTATCAATAACTAAATACTTCTATGTATTTATGGCTTAAAGATCTCTAGGCCAATTTTTGCCATCTGTAGAAAATAAAACTATAAAAGATGGCTGTTGGTTGTAAACCAGCAGGATGATGGCAAAAATAGGCACCATTAGAAAAAACATATTCCATTAATAATATCCTTAGGTTAGGGTCTAAGACTATGTAGTTGCTTAGAGTGCCAGAGTTTTGGGCAGTAGTGATATAATGTACTAAGTAATGAATGTCTG